AAAAAAAAGATTCTACGCCTCATGTGAATTTCAAAGTATTCATTAAGGATGCCAAGAAAATTACTGGAAGACAGCTGCAGATGTATCCTTTGTTTATTGACTTAAAAATTCTTATCAAGGCCTAATTAAAAATCTGTTGTTCATTAAAAATTCCAACGAATACAAGTTTGCAAGTTCTCATTATTCTCTCCTCTCCATACGTACTACTCATCAATACATATTGAAGATCATTTTCATATAAAAAATACGTTTAAATTACTCTCAGGATTGTTATAGAAAAACAGTTAGGAAATTAATTTAAAATAAAAAATTATATACTTAGACTTATATATTAAAAGTATTTATTATCAATTAAACAATGACACGCGTATTTTTTATGAATTATTTATTGTATACCAAACCTTTATTATTAATATTACCAACACATTAAAATCTATTTATATTAATTTGTTTGGATAAAATATATTAAGTATACAAAATTAAGTATTTAAAACTGTTGTACTAATTGACCACAATAATTATTGAATTGGGAAGAGGGGTCTTTCTACTTTTTTTTTCCTCAATTTCTTTTCATTTCTCCCATCCCCACTATTTATTAATTTTATCATTTAAAAAAATTATTTAATAAAATAATTTGAATGGTGAGGATGGAAGAAATAGAGAAAAATGAAGAGAGCCCTCTCCCTTTGAACTGTGTTTGCTTATACTAATAGTTTGCGCGTTGTGAAAACTTCTTTGTAGAAGTTCATAACTGTGTTTAAGAGGAAGGACAAGGAATAAAAAAAAATTGATATTTTTGGGTTTAACTTGTACATCATTTTTATGTTTTCCTTGTCAAATGACTTAAATAAAAAATGGACAAGAAAGATAAGCAAAGTTGGTAAAGGTTAGCATAGATTAAATAATTAATTAATTTGATTTTCTATCGAAAGAGTAACAATTAGGTCTGACAATTTTTTCTTAAAAATAAGTTATAATTATCTATTGAAAATGCAAATTTAGAAATTTGGAACTTCATTATCATTATTAGATTCCAAATTTGAGTTTTGGCCCTTGCAAATTGGGATTGTGAAAATTTTGGAGAACACCATAGTTAATAGGAAAAATAGAAAATTAAACAAAAACATCATGGAAATATAAAATATTTATTTGGATAATAGAGATATTAAATTTGATACGTTTGACTTAATGAAGAAAAAAAAAATAGAGGGAGGAAATTTTAATGAAGGCTGATACTTTCTTTACGGGGATGAAGAAAATAAATAGAGGATGTAGAAAGCGACTCCCATTTTTGTGGCACACGGCATGTCAAAAACGAGGCCATCGATTATGTGTCAATTCTCATTTACTAATTGGAACTTGACCCCACTCTTGTGTACACACTGACTCACGCAATGGTAGTACAATTAGTCAATTAATGTCATCTACAAATTTTTTTTAAATAAAATTAATCATTTAATTTTTATAATTATTGTCTTATTATAAGTTAATCCCTAAATTTTAACTTGACACAACTCAAACTTTATAATTTTAATTATTTAAAATATTAATTCATATATTTTAAAAAAATTATAAATAGTAAAGTTATTTATTGAGGTTTAATGATTAATTTTTTTATTACTTATATACATCCTTCTATTTAAAATATCTTATTCATTATATGATTGAATATTAAATGTGGACACCTCTAATAATTAATATTTTAAACAATTAAAATTAAGAATTGGGTTATACCAACCAAAGTTATAATTGAATCAAATTATAAATATTAGGTTATATTGGATTAAAGTTCAGTGATTTAATTATAATTGAGTGAAGAGTGAGAAACTAAACAATTTATCTTCTGAATATTTTTTATATTAAAAACAAGGAATTGCTATGGTGGTTAGAAGCGAATTTTCGAAGTTGCAGATAAAAAAGAAATAAATATTTGGAAAAAGTGTGTAATTTGTGTAAAAGGGTTAAAAAAAATAATTTGTGACAATCTCAATAGTCAAACGCATTTAATATGATTTTCAACGAGGCAAATATTTCTTAAAAATGTAAATGATGACGTCAACAAGGGTTGAGAATTTGTGGCATCGCATAATATTTCAGGTCACGGGGCATGTTATCCGTTTGGTTGGAGGGGGATGGAGACAAAGGTAAGTTGAAGGCTCTGGTTTAAATTTGATTTATGATTTAAAGTTGATTTATAATATAATTATTAGTCTTTATAATTTTTTTTTTCATTGTTTCGAGTTTCTTATTATTTTTTATTATATTTAAAAAATGATAAGATGATACTAGCAATATTAAATATATTAATATGTGACTAATGTCGTTAATATTTGTATTAAGATGAAGTCATGTTTTAACACATTAAAACCTAAAATATGAAACATAACAAGGCTGAACGGTCCTATTAATATGATGAATCATAATTTCACTAATAATAGATTAGTATTTTTAGTTAGAGCATATTTAATATTGCCAGTGTCATTTTATCAAAAGTTAAGAGACCGGCCTAACGCAACAACAAAAAAAAAAGGGATCTATATCAAAATAAATTAAAACTATAAAAACTAACACTTGTATTTTCCCTTTTAAAAAACCAAATTCATTAACATCTTCTAAAAAAAATATATTCGATCCTTTATACAAGTGGCCTTATAAGAGTCTGTGGAGCATTAATCACTTCGTTCCAAATACAGCCCTCTTCTCGATTTCTAATGAAAAGAAGTTTATGTGGAGGCATCAAATTTAACACATCAGTCTCATTAAGACATTAACTGTGCTTAGCAAAGTCACTTTTTTAATGTATATAATAAATAATAATAATATATTGATAGTGTCATTTGGTGGCTGATTAAGAGAAAGATACTTAAATTATAAAAAGAAGAAGAAAAGGTTATAATTAACAAGCATGTGGAAAGATCAAGAAGAGATAAAAAAAGGAGGGGGGCACCAGGTGGTGGGATCTCCTGTTATTTGGAGACAAGTGCGGTGCTTACTTCACACGTCACATGTGCATTGTTTGTTGCCTTTCGTTCGGCATTAGGTCTTTACACCTCTCTCTCTCTCTCTCTATATATATATATTAATGAGTAATAATGTTTGTATCTTTTGCTGACAAGGAAAGTTGAACACAACAGGCACCGAATAAAGAAAGTGAAAGAGCGATTTGTGGGAGGACAAAGGAGGAGCGTATTGATTTGGGGTTCGTTTGATCCAAAAAGATATTGTGTCCATTTAAATTTAAATTTCAGTGGGTATAATAAATTATAAAAATAATTAATTAAGTGATAAATTTTAATTATAATTAATTATATTATAACATAATTTATTTGGATATTGTTTTTTTAAAATTAATTTTAATAAAATAAAAATATTTAAATAATTTAATCAAAATTAATTTTTAATTATATAAATTACTATATAATTTAATTTTTAAATATCAAATATTAATTATTTGAAGATACAAAGTTTAAATTTTATTTAAAAAAAGAAAAAAGAAGAGAGTTTAATTTTATTTTTATTAAATTATGTGTTTTTTTTGTAATTTTTTGGGCCCGTTTTTATAATTTTTTTTGACATTTTTTACAAATTTTTGGCAAAAAGCGATGGAAGGAGCTTACGTGAAAACGTGCATTTGCTTCTTTAATCGATTTTTTTTTTGTGATATCTGGATAATTTTTTTAAAAAAATTAATTGTGGGCTGAAAAATTAATTTTCTCTTCTATCCAAATACATGCATTGTCACCCTAGCCACCATATTTATATGGAAAAAAGAGGGACTCTGGAGTATGGAGGATAGATTATGATATTTATAAATTTCTAAATTATAACTATATAAGATAAGAGAGCGAATTGATTCTAAACTATAAATCTAAAAATATTGAGATTTTAAACTTATTTTTTGATATTATTTTGAAAATAATATAATTTAACTTTTATCATTAATAAAAATTAATTTTAAATGTTATTTGACATAAAAATAATAAAAAATATATAAAAATTATAAAAAGACCAAAAATTATAGAAAAGGATAAAAAAATTAGATAGTTTTGTCATTTTTTAGTTAATTTTTATTATTGGTAGAAATTATATTACACTATTTTTAAAAATTGAAAGATATATTATATAAAAAATGAGTTTAAAATTCCTAACATTCTTAGAGATATAATTTAAGGATCGATTTACTTTATTGCCTAATATTATGTAATTTGGGGTGAGGCTTATTTAATATTTATTTAACAATACATTTTTTTCTCCTGTTCTTTGACCTTAGGAACTGGCAGCTTGCAGATACATCTTTAGAAGATATACCTCCAATAAAAAATTTACAAATTACATATGTGTATATATATATATATATATATATATTGAAATAGATTTTATGGATTTTAAAGATGTGATCCTTTTAAATCAAGCTCCGCATAATTTAAAATTTTACTGTAGGACATTGGGCTTGTATTTAAATAGCAAGTAAATAAAGGAGCAAGGCGTTTGAACCCATGTCATAATAATCTTGGTTCCTCAAACCATAGAAAATCATTGAACCAAAAGTACAAAAAAAATATATATATATATATATATATATAAAGTTTTGTTTTTAAAATATTTCTGAATTATTAATTTTGAATAGATTGTTAATATTTAAATAATTATTTTTTAATATTTAAATATAACTTGTCAATATTAAAATAAAGTGGGTTGTCAATTGTCAAAGATTAATTTTTTTCTTGAGACAAATTATAATATAATGTTAAATAAAATAATATATGTTATAAATTTAATTTTCTAGTATTTCAACTAGTTGTTGTTATTTCTGAATGACATGTTATTTTTATCCGAGCATTACTTATGGATATTTGGACACTTGTAAAAAAAAATCCATTATTATGTTTGATATAATGAAATCGATAATTGATTTATTTTTTTCCCCATGGAAGAGGGGGAAAAAAACAGGAACGAATGAACGCCAAAACTAGAATATTTGTTTTTTTTTTCCCCCAAATAAACATTTGGCGCGCCTCAAAACTCATTCTCGTCGTCGTGGGGATTGGGGAAGATGGTGCCTCAGATGCCTTCATGGAGAAACTGAGAAGACTTGCTACTGAGATCGCCTACGCTCAGAGTCTCGCTAAGCTTCCTCCTCTTCAACGCTCTCTCGTCCCTTTTCTTTATGCGGCCTCTTCTCTCTACAAGCTCGTTCTCTCTCTTCGCTACTTTCTCTACGAAGTTGGCTTCTTTCAAAGGCACCGGTGATCCCTTTTTCTCTATCTCATTGTTTTCTCTCTTTCTTCTCCCCTCCAATGCTTTTTTTGGTCGTTAAGAAAGTCAGTAGGAAAATTAATGTTGATTATTATGCTTATTCAATCTGGAAGGTTGCCCGTTCCTGTTATTAGTGTCGGGAATTTGACATGGGGAGGCAATGGGAAGACACCGATGGTTGAGTTCATCGCACTCTGGTTAGCTGATTGTGGAATTTCGCCTCTGATTCTTTCAAGGGTATTTTCATTTGTTCCACCGTTTTCCAATTTCTTGGATGTGCGGCCTCTCTGGCCAATTTTTTTATGACATTTAGCTGGTCAGTTTGATGTTTTACTTGAGAGAACTTTCAAAGTTTTGTATTCAAAATCCACCTGCCCACCTTCCGTTTTCAAAGACATGCTACTTTCATAAATTTTCTGATTTTTTTAATACTGAACTGTTCATGAGTGGGACCATACTATGTGACTGGCTTGTTTCAACTTTCGTCTGAATATAAAACCTGTTTATCTATTGCCTATTATTATTTACTACTATAATAATGCAAGTTGCTTGCAGTTTTTCTTCCCAAACACAGTCATGCGATTTAGTAATTTGGCTTCATTTCTCGAAATTTAATCGTTAACTTGAAAAGTTTGTATCATGTTATGGGCTAACCAGGTCATTCAGCTGGTTTGGTATGATTCTTGAAATAAACTGGTGCGGCTGTTACATAATATAATTTCTCTCAACTGATTGGATCCCGGCACATTTGAGCTGTGAGACCACTATTAGAACTTAGTAACCATAACAGACATCTCATCTGCATCCTAACTAAGCGCCAGAATCTCAAATGGTTTCAGTCTGCAGTTGCTTCTCAACTTCAAAAAACTCAATGATGGAGCGCTTCTTCAGCACCTTCAATTATGACTTCGAACTCATCCTCCTCACCTGCTGTCTCTTCATCTCCAGTCGCCCCCTCTAGATTAGAAGGGGCCATGGAAAAGAGAATAGCTAGAATACATAGTCTTGAGCAATACATACAGCCTTTTGCTAGATTTTATCAATCAAAAGTGCTTCCTCTACATCTAAACCTTCAACGTTCTTTGCTCCTACATCCGTTTACTAGATATTTTCAATCAAAAGTATCACCTCTACCTCGAAACCTTCAAAGATTTTGGCTCCCACATCCTGCAAGTGTCAATCAAACATTTCAATTTTGCACCAGCAGAAGCTTCCCGTATGTACCAAATTGGTCTTCTTTAATTAATAATTACATTTACCAAGGATCATGGAAAGAGGCTCTAGTCGTGTATAAACAAATTCGCCATGAAGGAGTATACCTTTTTGGTGCGATCCCTTTGTTACTCAAAGCTTGTGCTTCTCTTTCGTTCTTTGATTATGGGAAGGCTTTGCATGCAGAGTCCATTAAGGCTGGTTCAGACAGTGATGTAATGATTGGAACCACATTAATCAGTATTTATGCCAAGTGTGGTGCTGTTCTTGATTCCTTTCAAGTGTTTGAATCTATGCCTGAGAAAAATGTTGTCACTTGGAATGCCATGATTAATGGATACCTAAAGAATGGGGACACAAACTCTGCTTTAATTCTATTTGACAAGATGCCAGGACGAACAGAAGTAACTTGGAATCAAATGATTGATGGGTTTGCAAGGAGTGGGGATATTGCCACTGCTCGGCAATTGTTTGATAATGGTCCACCTGAGTTAAAAAATGTGGGGACATGGACTGTGATGGCTGATGGGTATGCTAGACAAGGGAATATGGAAGCTGCCAGAGAGATCTTTGGGCAGATGCCTGAGAGGAATTTCTTTGTCTGGTCATGTATGATTTGTGGGTACTCGAGGATAGGCAATGTCAAAGAGGCTGAGGCCATTTTTCGGCAGGTTCCAGTACGGAATTTGGAGATTTGGAATTCCATGATTTCTGGGTACGTCCAGAATGGATTTGGTGAGGAAGCACTGAAAGCATTTGATGATATGCAAGACGAAGGGTTTCAACCTGATGAGTTTACTATTGTTAGTATTTTATCTGCTTGTTCCCAGCTAGGGCTTCTAAATGCTGGTAAGAAAATCCACCATATGATAAGAAAGAGAGCAATGAAGACGAATCAGTTTGTTCTGAGTGGATTAATTGACATGTATGCAAAATGTGGGGACTTGATCAATGCAAGATTGGTCTTTGAAGAGTTTAATGAAAGGAATATCTTCTGCTGGAATGCAATGATATCTGGCTTTGCTATCAATGGAAAATGTCTCGAGGTTCTTGAGTTTTTGGGCAGAATGGAGAATTCAAATGTAAGGCCTGATGGCATCACCTTTCTTACTGTACTCACAGCTTGTGCTCATGGGGGCTTTGTCAATGAAGCGTTAGAAGTAATATCCAAAATGCTGAAATGTGGATTGGAAATAAGCATCAAGCATTATGGATGCGTAGTTGACCTCTTGGGGCGGGCAGGGAGATTAAAGGAGGCTTATGAGTTAATTCAAAAAATGCCAATGAAACCCAATGACACAGTTCTGGGGGCAATGCTTGGTGCATGCCAGATTCATTCAGCTTTGGAAATGGCTGAACAAATAATGAAGGATATTATTAGGGCACAAAGTTTGGACTCTCTTTCTGGCAATAATTCTTACAATGTGCTTATGTCCAATATCTATGCGGCTTCTGAAAAATGGGAGAAAGCTGAAAGGGTGAGGATTGCCAAGGCGAATGAAGGATCTCAAAAAACCCCTGGTTGTAGCTCAGTTATATCTAGTGGCTCAGAATGTCAATTTTGTGCTGTTACCAAATAACCACTGTTGTAAACTCAGTTATGGCTTAGTGAGAAACATGCAAGGAGCTTATTGTAATAGGTCTTGGAGCTCTACATCAAGATTGAATCTGTTGATGCTGCTCCCGCCATAGGTTAACATTCCAATATTTCAACTGCACAAATACATGAAATTAGATAGTTTACTGATTACAATTTTGTCAAGAGTTTAAGGTGAGAGATATACTATGTGTTGAAGTCAAAAGCAGGGGGTTGAAAATTAGTTGTAAGTTTGTCCATATGTTTCCACAATCAATCCTGATAGAGTGACGTTTGGCAACAATAATTTCTAGTAATGTGACTTTGAACTGACAAAGTGCTCCAAAGATTGTTTGAAAATGAACTTGATGTCTAGGCTTATCAAATATTTTTTTTGGCTAGGTTCTTAGCTTAATTCAGAGAATACAAGGCAATAAAAGGCTTAGCGTAGGGGCTTAGATTATTTTGTGTCTGAACTGTAGTCTTATTGGCTACTGCATATGGTGAGTCAGAAATGGTATAACAACCTTGCTTATATATTTATGATGTCTTAAGTGTATTTTTTTTTCCAACTTAAGTGTATTATATTATGCAATTGAGCTTTATCATTTTAACATGATACAACTCCTTTCATTTTTCAGTAGGATTTTCTAATGACCTGTCGCTGCATTACTACTAAAATAACGTCTGTTTCTTTTTTATCTCAATTATTGATCATATCCAAAATTTTCAAATAATAAATAATAGGATACTTCCATGAGAAACCACTGTGTATTTTATTTGGCTCATTTTGACCGGGATAGATTGTTTAGTTCTGAAGGCAGCTTGTGTGAAAATTGAAATAGGCATGCTCAGTGATCCACATTTTTCATTTGCCTGGCAGGGATATGGAGGTGGGGATGAAGTCAACATGCTTCGAAGACGTTTATTTGGGACAGCAATTCAATTTGGTGTTGGTGCAAATCGAGTAGCTGTTGCAAGTCAATTCATCCAAAAATACGGCTATATTAGTTCATGGCATGAAGAACTTTGCCTTGATAGGAAGAAGGAAAGTTATCCTGATTCCAAAAAAGTTGGAGTTGTAGTTCTTGATGATGCAATGCAGGTAATGCGATTCTCCTTGCCCTCTCCTCTTTCCTTGATCTACTGTTACATATTTTCTTCTATATTGTTTATTTAAACATCTGATGTCCCGGCTAAGTTATGCTCCTTAAGTTATGTTCATTCTCAGTTTTGTCTGCTGCACTTTGATTGCTTGAGATTTAAATTTTTGGTGGTAATTGCCAAAAGACATTTACGATGAAAAAAATATTTTTACATTGACCTGCTGTTGTCTTTGAATTGTATAATTTATATGCAAGGCAGCATTGGAGCTTGCAGCGAGATTTGGAGATTGTGATGGTTAATGGATTAACTCTTTGGGGTAACCTTCAACTAATGCCACTTGGACCATTAAGGGAACCTTTGACTGCACTTCGACGAGCAGATGTAGTTGTTGTACATCATGCTGACTTAGTATGTTATCATATTTTTTCTCCAATGCTGTTGATGTAATTTTTAATTCCGCACATTTTCCAGATATAAAATTACGATGTGATGAAGCTAATACTTTGGGAGATTCACAGGTTTCTGAAGATACTCTTGATGATATCAAGTCAATTGTTCGAAAAGTTAAAGAGTCTGTTCCTGTGTTCTTTACAAGAATGGATCCATCTTACTTATTTGACGTGAGAATTATCAACTCTAAAATATCTTTGAGGGCTCTACATGATGCTCATGTATTATGTGTTTCTGCCATCGGTTCTGCAGATTCTTTTGTGAAGCAGGTCCAAAAGGTATTCTTCCTTAATTTGTTTGTGATGTGTAGGAAGGATTTGAAGTAGAAGGTAGAATAGGAAATAGAAGATATGAGAGAAAATAGAGCGAAAGATAGATAAATAGGTAGAAGATGAGAGATACTAGAGAGAACTGGACAAATTTTATTTATTCAGAGTCTAACTACAACTATCAATGACCATTTATTTATAGCCTACTTATTAACAACGTAACCCTTCTAAGTACCCTTTAACTCATCTAACTAACTCCCTCATTTTATTTCAATTGGATTAGTTTGCATGAAAGTTGCTTCTTGAGGTGCTGGGAAACTGTGATCTGAAAACCCCCCAAACACTCACATAACATGTAATGTGTGAAATTTTTCAATATTCTACATTGAAACACTGCAAAATATTAACTCACGGACAAGACACGAAAGAGACATACATTACTATAACCATAAAAATAGTTTAAATGGATAAGTCTTCTTGTTAAGTTTGGGCTATCTTATTACGTTAATCTGTCTAATCCATTGAGCTATCGTCTTCCTTAAAATAAAGAAATTTATACTGCAGATCAAGCTGACCCATAATGCTTAAAGCACGTTTATTCCCCAAAAAATTAAAAAAATAAAAAAATGCAAGAAATGTAGCATAGATCATAATGAAAATGACTACGTTTTTCTTTCCTGATCCAATTTCCAAATGGTGATCATGTATACGCTATTTTTTTTTAAATAATACTCAATCACGCTTTTACTAATTTAGGATGTGTATACACATGCTAATGCTTTTCTTGGTATCGCTGACGACCAAAGAAACTGAATTAAGTCATCATGTTTGATATTTATTATGTTCTAGCACTTCTATGTGGATGTTTGACTTTACTTTACATCCATGAGTATTTTTCACTCTAAATTGCATATAACTTGATGCAGATGGGAGCTGTCTATGTTGATCGAGTTGATTTTAGCGATCATCATATATTTGATGCTGAGGTGTAATTTCCTGGTTTGGTGTTTGACAATGATTGTTTTGACACGTCTCTGCATTTTTGAACCAGGAAGAAAAACGAACAATAAGAAGGGGGCAAAACACTAAAGAAGCTTGATACAGATATTAAGCTTAAAGCCTACTTATCATGTTATTTCTTGGATATCATTGAAGGACAAAATGCAGATGGAGTTATCGATGTTTAAATTATTTGATAAAACTATGACATGTGAATACCCCCCGCCCCCTTTTCCTCAACCTAGCAATGCATTAACTCTCTTAAAAAGATGGTTCAAACGTCATAGTGAGAGAACTTTAAGGCTTTTCCGTTGTAAATTCATGTCATGCATTAAATAAATAATGCAGAGAAAACTACACTAGAATTAAGCTGCCTACTTTGAGAATTTCATGTGTTTTCTTTTTCCCTCATGTCTTTGCATTTAAGACCGAGATGTTAATTTCATATGTTGGATTAATGCAGGATATTGAGATGATCAGAGCCAGGATTAGAGAACTAGAGAGCAAGTTTGGCTTGAAGCCAATTGTTGTAGTGACCGAAAAGGTGGCTAAAACTATTCCCTTGCACTCGAGCACACCTTTTTTTTTTATATGGCTATTTGACCAAGTCAAATTCGAGTATTTTTGGGTCCAATTGTGGATAACCCTCCCAAAGATTTTTTTTTTTTTTTTTAATCTCACCTTGACTAGTAACTCCTATCAATCCCCTTCTAAATTCACCCATCTGACTCACACACACAATGCATGCTTATGCTGATACCTGAACTCATCCTCTTGTTGCCAGGATTACGATAGGGACCGAGAGATCCTTAAGCAATTATATCCATTCAAAGTTTTTGTTCTGTGTTCTAAATTAAAGGTGGTGCCTTGCTGCAACAGCTCAGAGGAAAGCTTTAAGAGGTTTCTGAGGGATCAGCTGAAGTTCAAATTTCTTGCTGCGAACTAGCTAGTTCTCCTTATTTTAAACATACCCTTACAAGCAAATGCTCAAAATATTCAGATTTGTATGCCCTCTTAGTATTGCAATTAAGTTTTTAGATTAGTTATTTATCTGTTGTGTCTATCAAGATGGTTTAGGTTCGAAGAAAGAGTTTTTATCTGGATTGCAGTCTCATCGCGATCTTGTAAGATTTTGACATATTTAAAATCTTGATTACGTTTTAAAGATCTGACCTTTCTCGATCTAGAGAGAGAGAGAGAGAGAGAGCGGGTATTTTGGTCCAGTGCAACCCAATCAAATCATCTGGGTGGGAAAGAAATGCGAGTTAAGATGGTTGAATTGGCGTGTGTTCAAGGTAATAAATTGAGTACATTAAAACTTGACTTGTGCGTGTTTGAGGGGCTTATGTTGCTATGTATACTCTCTCCAATTTTATTTATAAAATGTTTAAAAATTTTTCATGTACATTAAAAAAAGTTTGCTGTAATATTAAATTTGTCAAAAAAATCATCCTAAGTTATCTTTTTTACCTTTATAAAGATCTCTGCTCACAATTTACAAGATCAATAATTAGAAAGTGTTGGAAGTAAAAATAAAAATTTATTAGATCATACAAAAAACAACTTATAAATATGACAGGAGTATAAAGTCAATACTCATGCGACGTAGTGGCATTCATATCTCCCTTGCTTATATTTAAAGATTCTAAAAAGTAAAAACTGCAGGTCTTCTGATCACGAAGGATCATAAAGAGAGAAAAAAAGGATGGGAGGTTGATTGGAGGAAGGATCATGGTTCACTTCCTTTTCCTTTTTTCTTTCCGTTACTTTTCTCTGATTGGAAGGGATAAATGATAGCAGACTTGAAACAGTACATAATATTAATGTCACTTTCTTGACTCTTGATTGATCATATTAGACTTTACAGTGTTGGCCAAAAAAAAAAAAGTTGGGCTTTGTAGTGGCATCCGCTGTTAAAGAATTTTTTATTTGATGCACACGCTGCTATTTGGATAAGAAATACTACTTGATAGTAGCGCGGCATCCCTCAAATGGGCCTTCACCTACCCGTAGACCCCAATGGATAAGGACAAAAGGTGAGCCCGAATCCATAATAGCAAAAGGCCCTAATAAGGGAGCCCAAAAGGCTAGAACAAAGGGGGAAAAAAGGAGCATATGCGGTGAGCGTGGATCGAACACGCGACCTTCAGATCTTCAGTCTGACGCTCTCCCAACTGAGCTATCCCCGCCACATCTGGTGTCTTTTTAATATTTCTTCATTATCATTTATGCTTCAGATTCATCTCCCCACTATCATCAACCCCGTAAGAAACAAAGCCTCCAACAACAATCGAACTTGTGGATTCAGCTCCATTAGTGGTGAAGACAATTTATCAATAGTTCTCTGAGGAACTTCTAAGATCGCCTTCTTTGGAGAATTAAAATGGTGAAAATGGAAACAATCTGATACCGGGTTGGTTGCTGGGTTTATTGTGCAGATGAGAAATCTTATTTTTGAGCAGCGAGAGATCAATATTGCCAAATAATGTGTTTTCTTCCGTGATACTTTGCTTTGCTTTATTTATTCATTTATTTTGGCTTGATTTCTTCTTGTCTTTTAGGCTTGATATTAGGGAGAATGATAATGAGATCTCATAACATTGAATTAAGAACTATTAAGTTCTTAACAAAATTTTATATAAAATTAATATAAATATTAATTCAAATAGTTACAAATAAAAATTTCTGTTATAATTTCAAGTTATATTTAATATTTAAATATTTATTTGTAATAAAATTTTTAAATTTTTAATTATTTCATTTCATATTTTTAACTAATTTTTTTAAAAAAAATTGTCAGAAACTTGATTGTCATTAACTTATAATTCTGCGACCTAATTGTCATTCCCCATATATTAGGTTGTCTCATTATGTGCAATGCAAACGGGTGGCAGAAAGGGGCTATTTTATATTTTTTGAGCGGTGGGTAGTAATCCTGAATGGTTTATTGGCCACAATGACAAATAGAGACCATAAACCTGGTTACATTGTAAAGAACAAACTTATCAAATATAACATTACTTGAAAATTGTTTTATTTTACAAATTAGCCAATATTACCTGTAAATTCATGTTTTGAAGATTGCAAATAAGAGTACAAAAGTAGCAATAGCAAATAGTTGTAAATGATGTTTCTATAAAAAAGACAACAAAAAAATGATATATTTAACAAGTTTTTTCTATACAAATTAGTGAATTTCACTTGTAAATTCTTGTTTTGATAATTGTAAACATGAAATGAGAGTAGTACATTTTTAGACTAATCTACTAAAAAAATTCAGTCCTTATTTTAAACCAGTTCAATCTTTTGCTCCTTTAATATTTTCCCCCAATTTTAAAATGGATGTTATTAATATGGCATGACATTATTTTTTTGAATTATAAAGAAAAGCTAACAATTTGAGATAACAAGTAGATTAAATCTACAACGTCCTATTTACAACAACATAGGTATTGGTTGATATGACATATTGTGAATCTTTAAAATGTGATTGTAAAGGGACATTATTAATAAAAATGGAATAGTTGTGAATTTTAAAAAATGATTATAAAAGAACGTGTTCAATTTTTTTCTCGCAAAATATCTAAATGTTATCTGTAACATCCCAATTTAAATTTTAATAGTTAATTTGGGTTAATAAAAATTTTAAAAAGTATTATTAAATTATTATTATAAAAAAAAAGGTATGCAAAAAAAATAAAAAAAAATAAAAAAATAAATAAATAAAAATAAAAATAAATAAAAAAATAAATAAAAAAAATAATAATAATAAATAAAAAAATAAAATATTATTAAATTATTATTATTATAATAATAAAAAGAAAGAAAGGAAAAGAAAGGAAGAAGAAGAAGAAAACGAATTTGCTTCGTCCGCCGCCTCAACAGTAACAATAATAAAATAATAATAAAAAGAAAAGAAGAAGAAGAGAGAGAAAATAATAAAAAAAATGTGGGACCCACTGAATTTTTATAAAAACTCACCTATTCCTTCATTTCTTCATTCCTTCTTTCGTGCGTGAGCTTCGGCAGAGAGAGCATCTGTGAGCCAAATTCACCGGTGCTGGGTTTTAAGGTAAGAGTTTTTAATAGGATATTTAGGATGTGATTTTAAGCTTTTCAAGACTAAGTAAGTGTTCTAAAAATTTTTCTTAGTCATCCTTCTTCTTTGGTTTCTGAGTTTGTAGTGGTAGAAAATTTAACATCTGAAAGAGGGATGAATTTATGTTGAATAAATATGATTTTTGAGGTTGTTAGTAGTATAATAAATGTTATAGAGTATAAATTTGTTAATGATCTTTGAATTTATGGCTTATGGATAAAATTTTAGACTAGATCTGAAAATATATGTTGATTTATTGAGGTTTAGATGATTATTTGGGATGAGAAATGAATTATTATGGCTATAGGATTATGATTCTAAGCTAGAGACTTAATTTTTAATTTTTGAGTATTTTAGGTGCGAATTTATAAAATAAAAAGAAAATATTGATAATTAAAAGAGGAGTTAAAAATTATACTTAATAGTATTAACTATAGATTTGTATTAAGATTGAGATTAGGAATTATGTATATTTTTAATTCTATTATTAGAATTATTTTATTAGTTTCAAAAATTGAAACTAATATTTATAAATAATATGTTATTTTGTAGATTGTATTACTGGTGAAGATTGTGGTGAGAGAGAAATTTTAAGGAATAATTTATTGAAAAAGCCACAAGGTAACCATGCTTTTAATTTGCGATTAGTGTTACTTCATGTTAATTGGGTGATTATTGAGAAAATTATGAAATTTTTTAATATTGTATAATTGTGCAATATTATTATGAATTTGTTTAATTATTGTGGGAGGTGTTGGGAGACTTGCTATTATTGTTGTATTTATGTGCCACGTGGTACGCCCCTATTGGAGCTCAATAGGTGATTTGTAAGGGCTCGGGCTAATCTACCTTTGGCCGGGTAATTTAGCACCGAGTGAGGGCTACGACTCGAGGTTAATGGAGGGATATAAGGATGGTTGTTTGTGTGTATTGTAATATTTCTTATATTTGTTGGAATTATATTATTTTTAATTCTCACTTAGTAAGCACACACTTAACTGTTTGTATACACTATCATAAATTGGCTTTGGTTACTGGGACTTTTGAGTCTCATTATGTGGTTAACAATTTTCAGGAGAAGAGCCAAGAGTGACACGTGGAGGAGTCCCAGAGGCTTAGTGGTATAGATCCACTGTCTCTTTTGGGCATTTAATTTATGATTTATAATGTGTTATATTGCCAATATTAGGGCTTTTTGTTTATTGTCAATTATATGAATATATAAATGTAATCATGCCTTTCAAACTATTTCTATTTTTAGTACAATTTGGATGACTGTAATTTTAATATTTGGTTTACTTTGGATTGGTTAAAATGGCATGATTATAAGGCCAAATAACTGGTTTGTGTTGAAAATTTATTAAATTGCTTATTTTACTTGTTGGGAGTATAAGGATGGACTAATGTGATTTAATTTACTTGTTGGGAGTATAAGGATGGACAAATGTGATTTAGCCTAATGGCATGTGGGAGGTAAAAATTTATCTGAAATGTTAATTATAAAATATTTTATATTGAAATTATTGATATAAAAATGTGTTGGGTGTCTGTAACCCAACTATGGTTGAGTTAAATTATTTAAAAAAAAAAATTTGGTGTGTTACATTATCCGTTCTAAAAACATCTACAAGTTTGCTCACAAATGTCCATGGCCCCAAAATTTTAAAGCAATGCCTCTTGGCTCTTACAAGAGTGAACATTTCTAAGTAAACATGTTGAAAGTAAGTTTAAATTAATGAATAAGATGGAAAGAGTATAAGACATTTTTATCTAACATACTCAAATACACCTACCGAGACAATTAGGCAGTTAAGATTTTAATTTTTTTTTTCAAATTTTTCCTTCTTTACATGGGAAATGAATGAACCATAGTGATGTGAGAGTAAATAATTTTAACATGCTCTTTTGAGCATTTTAAGAAGGAAGACATTAATTGCCCTATAGAAATATATGTAAAATGCCTTGCATACATTGAATTGTGAGACTTTTCAAAACACGTCTTATATTTAAAATGGAAGTAGTTATTATTTTATCATCCTTTAATTAAAGAATCCGAAGATAGTAAAGACAAACATTCATATTAGTTTTTCAGAAAAGAAAGAAAATACCTTGAAGAAAAAGCAATCATTTTCCTCAATGAAGGAACACAGTCACAGGCTAAGGAAATAAGTCCTGGAAAAAAGTGGTCAAGTCCCCTTTGTTAATATCAAATTGCAACAACTTCTCTAAGGCATCCTGCATTCAATCCGTAAATATAAACTCAAGTTAAAAAGTATCAAAAAAAAAAATCCATCAAACATGTCTGAAATTTAACTCTTAAAAGTTAAAATGACACCTTATATTGACGATCTTGAGCTGATATGTTCTCATTGCACAGCCGCTCAACACGCTTATTATTTATAGCCGCATCCAACACAACTTCTGCTCTTTCTATAACTTCATTTGGAACGCCTGCATGTACGTGTGGTTTGTATTATGGTTCATAGATACTGTTCATGGACTGTACAGAGCGAAATTAAAGTTAGGGTGAATGTTATTTGGGTCTTTTTAAAGAAACTATTGACGATTTAGTTTCTGGAACAAATGACCCTTTTGAGATTGAAGTAGGGACCTAAGTGTCAATAGCTCCCGTACAAATGCTTATACAGTTATTTGCTAATGCTTATGCATTCGGAGTATATAAATGCAATCATAAAAAGAAACAGAATTTCTTATAGAGTTATCTGCTATTGGAAATAGGAATATTATCAAGACATAAGTTGTCCTGTAGTAGATATACCAGCAAGTAGTGCACAGTGAAGCCCTGCAGGATATAAAAAACCTAGCGTCAATTTCATCAACATTTCAGAGGATACCCAGATTAAGAAAGCAAAAGAGTACCGTAGCTATATTGTGCATGCCCGGGAACAAGCCTGCATTGAACAATATGAAAACAAACATTAAATATCTTTAAAGCAACAGGACTATATCAACCTGTGGTCCTTGTCTTGAAACTCAAGGACACAGAGATGTGAGCCTATAGAATAGATCCTGTTCAAGTAAGGTCGTAGGACTACATCAATGTAGTGCCAAGTAATCACAATACACAAAGTGGGAGGAGTCACCGGCCGTTTATTCATCCAAATGCTATATAAACATGCTAAGAACTAAAACTGAGCTTATTGCGACACATGCATGCTCAAATTTAACATTTTAGGAAACTGTTTCCCCTTTCCTTATTCTATGATAGAACCAATCTTGCAGAAAAGTTCCAACATATTAGGTCTGTAAATATCTTAAGTTAATGAATTTGATGAAACATTTTGCGATTTCCATCCAACCGAATTTTCCAAAATAAAGCGACCATCTCGTGGTAGATAGAATCCTTAGCCCAATGGCTTGGCAGAGGCGATAGAAAGGTACCTATATAAAAATGTAACGTCTTCCATCTGTGAGGAATTGTCGTCAGGCCTCAGTACACTCATTGTGTACAACTGAACCTTCTTGGACTAAAATACACAAATAGATAGCCATGTTAGCGATGACTTAACAATGAGTGTTCAAAAACTTGAACCACAAAAAGATGCATTAGCATAACCTTTGTTAAGTAAGGCTCTTCCAATAGCTCAGTGAGATGAGTGCACACAAATACCTGCATGTTACAAAATTCACTCAGCAAACTCCGAGTTAGAGTCCCCTATCACTCTCTTCTTGAGTTGGGGCTGGTAATTTCTAGAGATAAATGGGGAAGTGCATATACTCATCTACAGTATGAGACAACACTTCCTCCTTATTAAAGATTTCCTGGATATGTAGTATTGGGTGTCCTGAAAACTGATGCTTTGAAATGTGTAAAACTGAATCTACATGTTATCACAGACAAAGGAATTTGGCTTTTAACTTCTAATGTCCCGGGTAGTGAGAATTAGTTGGCAAATGCAAGCCAGTCGAAGGAACTTAACCAGTTAAATAGGAATAAACAGGGGACTTTGGAATTGATCAAAACCTAATTGCAAGTTAACAGCCCCTACAAGAGTAACTATCAGTTAAAAAGACACCATCATTAGTGGAATAAGGTCTGTTGTTGTTGTTGTAGTGCAGGAAGATTACAATGTTCTAGTTTAAACTGACTTATGAGTCACAGTAAAAACGGAAAGCTTAGCAAGGGATTATTAATTCTATAAAATGGCAAAAGGCTTTACTTTAATTGCTATAGCATTGCAAACTCGTTTACTTGATGATGTCGACCATCTTGAGCTTCCTTTAGTTATATCTTTTTCTGCATTTTCCCTATTACGGTACCTACTTGGTGGTGTCATCACGAAGCAAACTAGATCTTCACCTTCCTCTAAGATGTAAAGATAGGATTTGGAGCTTCATATAGGAGAAACCACTCATTGAAGCGGATGCAAAACCGAAAATATAATGGAAGAGATCAGTCGATATTATACTATTTAAAAACAAATGTTAGTACCTCGTTATTCACATGGTTTTCTCCCTCTTAGACAACCCATAATTTTAATTAAGAAACTGGATGTATTTTTACATTGAAATAATCAATCCAATTAGATTTGACTGCCACTTAGATGCAAAAGGGCGCAGGCCAGGAGAATGAAATGGAAGTTGAATTTAGAATGCAATGGGAAAACTAACTGGATGGTAAGGTTCAAAAATTAACCAACTATAGTACACACCAAGCAAGGTTCAAAAATTTAGGAAGAGAAACATCCATTAACCTTTGGGGTTTCATTACAACTGGCAAAGTGGCTTATGGTCCCACCAAGCAAGCCAATGCCATCTGAAAGGAGATAAAAACATGTATGCTAGAAACTAGCATCTGCAATGTAGATATTCATATTCGATATTAATGATGTACATAGCACATTAACTTAGAGAGAACTAACCTTCTGTAAGAGTACCTTTACCAAATTCATCTACCAGACAGAGAGATTGTGAGGTTGCATGCCTGCAAGTTTTGTAAAACCTTTGAGCTATTTAATCATTTGGATGACAAGCACGTGGAAGGAGAATTACTATTAGGAAATCAATAATTATTAAAAGAGGACTGTCCAGCATTAGACACAATGAAATAATTCAAATTCTAGGCGATTGAGATGTCATGTTCATTTTTCAATGTATTTTAGCCACTCCAACCAGCTTTTTTCTAGTTATACCTTAGCATCAATCCTACGTGATGAAGATCAATCATAAAAGTTGATTGTTCAGCAGTCATAAGCCTACTTCCCATTGCACAAAATATTCTGCAACATTAAGATTGGAATTTATGTCACCAAGTTACAAAGATAACTTAACTACTGGCATAAGAAATACAATGGTTATAAGTTAATCAAACCTATCAGTCAAACCCACAGTTGCTGCATCAGCTGGCACGAAACTACCGATGTGGGATAGGAAAACAATTAATGCCACCTGAAAAACAGTTTTGCCATACTTATTGTCATATAGCAACAGGGAACAAAGATGCACTTTGATATTATTCAGTAGCTTCACTTGGGAGAGTATGTCAAGGAAATAAACATCCCAGAAGTTTAATCTGTTGGAAAGGCCCAGAATAATTGTTACAGAAGGGTCCTTGCTAAGAGGATGCATACTTTGTAGTTATACTCTCTAATGCCAAAGATCACATATCAGAGAAAGTAAAGAACTAACGAAAAGGAAGAAATTACCAACCATATGCCCTAGAGACTACTATATCTTGGAAGGATAAAGAACTGACAACCAACCTGCTTTATATAGATGCTCTTTCCAGAAAAATTAGGACCAGTGATTATATTAATTCTTCCTGAAATAGGCATAGAGAAAATATATAAAGAATAAGGACACGAGTAAGTATCATCTAACTAGGCAGGTTTCCACTGTATTGAGATTTGCACAACATTCAAATGTATGTAAACATCCATTACCATCTTGAAGAACCTTCGTATCGTTAGGTATAAATGTGTCCACAGTCATTTCCTGCAGAACATGCCTATAAACAGCACAGATATTGGCCATTAACCACACTAGTACTTCTACTTTTTCAGAGATTGACTTTAATTTTTAGAACCAAAAAGCAAGATGGCTTGCACCTTCCATTTCTTATGTCAATCAAGCTTTCCTCAGTCAGTAAAGGCTTCACATAGTTGTTTTGACGAGCAACCAGAGCCAGTGACAAAAGGCTGAAAGAGAATAATCAAGTTATCAAGAACAAGTCACAGCAAGTACTAGTTATAATAATGATGAAGTTTCTCTTACCAGTCCAGTTCAGCTGCAAAATTTGTTGCCCTTGTCAAATGGGATGAGAACAAAAGTATATGTGACAGCAAATCTCTAGTAATTGCCCTTTCCATATCTTGTTATAAAAGGGTATCATGAATAAACTATTAAAATTACAGTGTAATTTGAAATAAAAATAGATGAAAAAAAGCAGTGGAATATATAATACAATATCCATCATTAAAAAGTTATTCAATTCAATTTCTGACTTGATTAGAGCATGCATTTTTGAGTATTTTAGAGCGTCTTGTTTAGTTTCAATGCTTTCCAAGAATATCTCTTAACATTTTTATTCGTCATGTTGCATCTTAAAATGTTTACATTTTTATTTTCCACATTTTCTTTTTTTTTTTGGGTGTTCTAAACTGTTTTGGCATTGCCGAAAACTTTTTGACCAGAACCTTTGGGGATAAAGGGGCGAGTATGCAGTACAGGCATTTGATATGGATGATGCAGAAAAAAGTAATGTATGCTTCTTAGCTGCTGCAATCTACAGTCAAGTTAAACTATTATTATACCTGGCTTATGTAGTAGTTTGATATAGAAAATTTTAAATAAAATTTGAAGTTCATTATTTAGAGAAAATTATTTGAAAATAAGTAGACATCACAAGTTAATAAAAATGGAGAATATTTTTCTACTAATACCTAAAATTAAAAATGGAGAATATTTTTCTACTGATACCTAAAATTTTATGATGGATGTCACCTAGAAGACTGTCTAATTCTCGTGTCTTTGGTGTTCGATAAAAGAATCTCTTAGTCTCTCCATCTGCATCTGAAAACTACATTTGAAATCATTATCATTGAAGCAGAATGTGTTGATTGCAGATATTCACTCTTGATACTCAAGCATCAACGTACTGTAAACTCCCAGTCTTCAAGTTTCTCCATAGTGGTTTCTTCAAGTTTTTCTTCAAAAATGCACATCAAATAACCTATAATGAAAAAAGACAACATGCAATAATGAAATCTACGTAAGGTCAAGGGAAAAAAATGTAGATTACACATCTAAGCTAGCCTTATGTTGATAAGATGATCACGTCCATCGCTAAAAATCAGGAAATTAACATGTCTGAATTAAATCCAATCTGTGGTGGAGGAAAAAGCTCCTTCCCGGATAGATATACATTCTACAACCAAATTTTGACATACGATATCTAAATTCAACATCTGAAAACCTAGAGGCACATCTTGGCATCACGTAAAAAAATTGATACAAAACTGCAAGACTTCTCTACGTAACAGGCACAATCTTCTGGTACTTAATTTTGCTCCACAACTGCAATCACTGACCTAAAGAATCCTCACATTAACAAGTTTCGTTACCCTTCTAAAGTCTCCAACCTTTCTTCCATAGCCTTCCCTTCAGCTCACTAGTTTAGCGATTACACGGACATGCCTTGGCATGTGACATAAAAATCCAACAAAAATTTTAGTGCACTCAACGCACGGTACAGCAATAACTTTACCTTCTGAACATGTTTTGTCTTAAAGAGGAACGCTACGCTTAATATCTACCACCGCACATATAAACACTTAAGGAAGTCTGTTAGTAGACGAAGCACACTTTTTTCATATTAGAAGGGCAATGAAAAATCGTCAGTTATTACTCTCTCTCTAATACAAATACACTTCAGAAGAGTCAGAACCACCTATTTGTTGTATATATACAATACAAGGAACAAGCCTGCCCTTGCGCAGATCAGGAAGTTCTGCAAGTTCCAGTGACGAAACCTGTCAAAATATCTAGCATTATTAAAATAAATTTAAACTGTTTTCTGCTGAATTAAATTTTGTATAGAAGTCACCTCTTCCAGGAATTCAGGCAGTTCCTCGTATATTTGCCTGAGCTCATCCAACTACTCCATAACAAATTGTTCACGGTTTACTATAAGAAAGACTACTTCATGAAAGAAGGAGATCTTATGAAATATGCATAAATTGAACCTTAACATCCATTGACTAAATTATTTGTTACAATCTCATTCAAGAAGCCCCGTTTATGAGGAAAGATATTGATGTCAAAGCTCAATACTAGGAGCATATTTTCATTTTATTGGCATATCAAGGTGGAAATAAAAAACAAGGAAATTAGGTTTAACCTCATCACAGAAACCCTCTTTAACCACCGTAGCATACCCCTTTTCTTTCGTTCTGTTTACGTCAATAACACCAATTACCTGCAAAACACATCACCGGTCAAGCATTGATTATTAGCTGTGATGAAATCAGATGCCTTTTAAGCATGCACCTTTCATTGGATAAATTTTGTTTGTGACGATAATCAAGCCCGATAACTTATTCAGGCCCATTAACCTGCTTAAATCAGTTTTATGCTTCGGCACCTCCACATCAACACAGAAATTTTATCGCTACTCTTAAGTTAAACTTCCGCCCACCCAATTCAAGGGAAAGTTTTGCGCAAATACAAAATGTATTTCCATGATATTAGTTTCCAAAAATATGATAAACATTAGTCACCATTTCAATGAAGGTGAAGTCAGTGAAATAAATAAAGTTACCAGCTCATACACATAAGCAAGCTCTGTCGTTATGCACGAAACTGCCTGCAACAGAGTTAAACACCAAGAAATCATTTAGGCTTTGATATAACCGTACTCGTACACACGTACACTTCAAGAAAAAAGATATGCACCTTCTCAATGATATTCAATTTCAAGCGTGTCAGTTCTTCTCGTAGACCTTCAGAAATTCCAACTTCAAATATCTTGTTTATGTGCAACAGTGCACAAATGCTCTAGAAGATGTCAAGAATATTAAACGAAAAATAGTTTTTTTTTTTTTTCAACAGGTAAAACCAAACATGGATTCACAGCAAAGGTGAACAAGAAAAAAATTAGCAAGCATTCTTCATGCCAGCATCCGAATAAGAACCTCAAAGTTTTTTCATATTAGGAATGTTTACCTTCAGAAGAGCTGTCCAATCAGAGCTGGTACATGTCGAGCTTGGGGAATCAAATTTCTTCAATATTGAAAACAAATATCTAAAAATATTAGTCTGAAAGGAATGCAGAACAGAGAAGCATCGAAAGCAAATTTCACTAAACAATTGGCACATCATAATTTTTCGTCGTGCCGAATCATATTGGTCAATCTTCAAATAACAGTAGTTTACACTTTCAGGAACCCAGCGTAGCGGGATGAAAACCACTTTACTTAAACGATTGATGCAAAATTTCGACATGCAATTAGCAAATATATATAGTTTGTGTTGTGCAAATCATGCTTTTTTCAATTACTTGAGTATCCTGAGACTCTTGAGCTGACATTACTGAAACTAATATTTTTAGTCTGACTAGTGGAAGACAAGAAAAAAGGAGTTGAATTAATCTGTTACCTTCAGCAAGTAAGGAATGTCCTTCACAGATTTCAGGGTTTCACGTAAAGAAGTAACCAGTTCTTCTGAGCAAAGAAAGAAAGATATCTATTTTCCATCAAAGAAAATTTGCATTTAATGGTTCATTGAAAATACAGTGGACTGCAAAGGGACATTATATTGAAGTTTAACCTCATTCTCATGAATCTGAAGCTTACGAAAGTATAGCAAGAGCTTATATACTAAACTATAAATGGATACAGCATTTAACCGGTAGTTCAGAATTTCAATGTCCAGTACAGGCCTCAAGAACCAGCTTCTGAAATGACAAAAAAAAATTATGGAGTGATGTAGATGTTGACTCTGCCATATTTTAACACTCATTACCTCAAAATGCGCCTGCCAGGTGGCGTCACACACTGCATGAAGTACAAATGGTTAGTTATGCGTGCTACCACATTGGCATAATCTAAATTTGAATTCAAACAACGGTAGCAAACCTTATTCATCATCCCAAATACAGAAAACCTGCAATTCAGGAATATGAACTCGAATATTTTCACATATTTAAAGTAAAAAGTTCAAGGTTCAGTCAGCATTAGCAATTACCCTTCTTTTGCCCTCCCAATGCCCATATGGCTTGGATGCTTGTCTATATGGAATATCTGCAATGCTTCATGAGCTGCCGCATCAAGTTTTAGGAACTTATTTCTGTATTGTCAGTGTGAAGTTTAAACATCTCTTCTCAAAAAGGATAATGTTTAACACATTGAAAGATGGATTGCCTGAAGTGTAGAAAACTGCACTACATAAGAGCTCACTTTGGGCTCACTATTTTTTTTTTTTTAATAAAATCAATAGTAAGCCGGATAATTTATAAAAGCCATGAACCGTCGACTCATTTCTTAAAGTCCATGCTGTGCGTAGCTCACGCCCAGTTAAGAAGAATAAGTAAAAGGATACAGTGAAATTTCTACAACAGAATCTATTGCTATTGATGCATTGCCAGATTCCTTTTGTTCAAGAGTGTCTACAATCCTCTCATTCTCTAATATTGCAAGAAGGCCACCGCTGGCACGAACTTGCACTTCACTTCTCATGTCTATCACGGAATTCAACTGCAATTGCAACAGGGAAGTAAGAACATGGAAATTTAGAATATTGAGATTGACAGCAGAAATCAAACAATCACTGGAAAAGAAAACATAGGAATATTACACATTTAGATCACTTTACACAATCAAAGGAAGTGACTTCAGTAAGAACATACTATAAAAGTAGATCTCATACAAATTGTTGTCGAGATTTCAAATATACAGATTTTGGTTAAAATACTTAGTTAACTTAAGCAAAGAACATAAAACAAATTTATCAACAATAAAAGTACCTTAATTTTCATGTGATGATAGATTAAATATGCATTGTACCCTGAGGGTCCAGCTGTTGAATCCTCATCAATTTTGGAACCATATACAAGGAACTAATAGTCCAAGAAGAAAGACTACAATTACTAACCATGTGCATGCATTAATATTAGTTATTGGACGACAACCTCAGGAAATGGACCATCCATTGTTATGATATACAGAGACATAGATGATCAAGTACAATACTAGATATATCCTGACTCACGTAGCAAATCCTCTCCTTGACATTTAATCCATCATCCATTCCTGGTACCCGAAGATAGATTAATCTGTAGAATCAGAAAGCAGAAGGAGCAATAGAATACTCAGATCGCATCCCACTTTCATGCTGTTCTTTCATTCATTATCCATTTGTGGTAGATTCACCAAAAAGGCGCCATAATATCGATAATAGTTACATGTGCTCTGATTAAATAAACTAGAATTTAAGATGAGAATTGAAAAGTTTGGATGAAGCTACTATAAATTTATAGGATAACACCTAGATTAAAAAAAAAACTACTAATTCACTGCCATTACACCTAATTTGGACAACTAAAGGAATATACATTAAAGTTAACAGAGGAAACTCTGTTGCACACATCTGTGCACATGCAATGACAGAGGTGATGATGCCCCGTCACGATTATATATGCTAAAAAGGATGGCCCTAAACATCCACCATTAACTAGGTGTCTGCAAATCACTAAAGGCCAACCAAGAATACAACATGGGTCCTTTGTTACTTTTGCTAGTGAAACCATTTTCATTTTGTGTGCTGCATAGAGCAAACATATCAATGTGAATTATCAAGAACAGACATCAAAATTTAGTATTTAAATATTTCAATACAAAAAATGATTCAAAACCATATCTTCCCTTCAACATCATGACAACTTCAATACCTGTGCCATGCTTGTTCATAGCTAAATATTGAGCTTTTCACAAGCTTCACTGTAGGAGCATTGTCTACTTGACCTTCTGCATCACTGAAATAGTTTAAGGGTCCTATAACCTGATATTTTAGACCTCAACCACATAATAAGCATTATACCACTTCGTTGCAGAGCAGACAAGAAGGCTTCTTCACATTTAGTGCTGGTGTAAATGACCAAAGGGTTCGCTTGATATTTCACTGTAAAAAAGTTATTGACGTTACAAAACAGTAACACAACGAAATTACAATGAAACCGAGATGCAGAAAACTAAATCAATCACGCAACGTGAGACCTAGGAGGAATATTCAAATATAACAATGATAAGAAACTATACCTAGATCAATCAGTGGGAAACCTGTGTCACCATTATCCCAAGCTTCAAGCACGTAAAGTCGGCGATGGCTGGAATCATAATAAGAAACCCCTATTCTGCACAAATCGATTTGGAATTCTTCAACTTCAGAAGATTAACGGACCATTTTGAAGGAAGATAAAATAGAAATTATATATGAAAAATAACGTGCACACAATTCAGCTCAGTGACATTATCTGTTTATAGCTATCTTACAAATTCTTTTGCTCATTATTTGTTTTAGAGCTCCTACAAAATGAATCTCATGCTTAATGGAAATTTAATTAAAATGAATCTTTTTTTTCTCTTGTAAAATAAGCCCACTCAGACTTTGAATATTTCTTTATCAGAAAATACACTGAAGTGCCACAAGATACCAAAAAGACTTAGAAAAAACAAGAATAGAGGGAAATTAGAACATAGTGTAGTGAATAACACCCGAATTATAACACAGAACCGATGATGAGTGATCTCTAGGAATGAATGACATTCCTTGAAGATGTTCACCAGCAATAAGATAATGCAAACAAAAGCTGCTTGACTGACCACTATTATTTTTGCCCTTGCATTTTCTTTTCAAGCTTTTTCAAGTCTCTGAAAATTTTGCCATGCAATATTAAATGACCTTCCAATAAAACTATTCTTCGCACACTTCACTGCCTATGCAAGGAAAATCTAATTTTATTTAAGCACCAAGTAAACATTTGTGGAGTTGGGTAGCAGATACTTCTAAAAATACAAGGAACTTTTACCTATGACCGTGTAAAATGCATGCCATGTAAACCTGCATTGAAGTTCAAAAATTAGATTTGAGTTAAAAGGGTGTGATGACAAAAATGTAATAACGTAGGTAGTAGGTTATGAAGAACTACATTTAATGGTTATGACTTATACCATGGGAAGGACAAATTAGTTTATTTCCCTGGATAATCAGATTCGTTCATTGTATCAAGTAAAAAGCTGTTGGTTGCTAAAACAACAATCATAAGATGACACACTTCTTTGCAATTTTCTCTTCCCTCTTTGATGGTTAATCATCTGCCCATATATGGTATTTCTTATACAGATGCCATTTTGTAATATTAACAAAGCCCTGTGGTAAACCAAAAGATCAGGTTTATAACTAGCTTGAAGTGATTTCACTCTTTAGTAAAAAATGAAAAATTATTTGATGTTTTTATTATTTACTGGCACATAATATGTTGTATGCTATTCAAATTTATAGGATCACCTTATTCAGACTTCGTTCACTTTAATTCACACTACAAGATGTTAATCAGAACATTATTAATTAAATAAAACTTAAATATTGCAACTGGAAGTTAATTTCTACTGTTAACATATTTGGTACTCTCATATAACAATCATAATTATTTTACAGAACCTCATGCAATTCCAGGCTAAAATTTTGATTGTTTTTGCCCCTTTTCCATTCTTTTTTACTTTCCCTGCCTCTTTTTTTCCTTTTTGATAATCGTATTAGTTTATCGAATCTCTGCAGTTAAGTCAATCAACATTCTTACAATTGGACAATTTCCATTATCTATCAAGCACGATGCGGCGATACCTGCTCATTAACCTCAAGACAACTGTTGAAAATGTTACAAAACAAAGAACAAAAACTATTTGTCACTGTTATTGAACAAAAACACAATCATATACCGGATCAACTAGCACTCAAGTACCGTCTCTTGAAAAGCCAAGCACATCCATAACCTACAAAGACAAAGGCTATGCTTCCTGCTATAAAGATAACTAACCATTACCCGTAAAAGCTAGAATTCTAAGAATATAAATATTTTTTATGATTAAGAGTTGAAAACATATAAGTATAAATGTTACAATTAAAAAAAGGTTACATTTAAAATTAACTAGGTCCTGAGAAATTGAAGATTCTTCTAGTGTTATATTTTCAGAGCTGTAAATTTAAATATAAGATAGTTTTCATTCAGCTGAGCGTAACCAGGGAAGTTCAACTCATTCGAGTTCATTGCAATTTTAGTTCATCAACTTCGATAAGCGTAATCAACAATTTTGTCCTGTTTCTATTCTTTAACTTGTAGTCACTTCTCGTTCTAAAATAGAAATGAAATCACGTCGGATGAAGTTCTTATCCCTGTGGAACGGAAATTGAAAATGTCCTTTTCTATTCTCTGAAGCCAAACAGCAAGAGGCAGAAATTTAAAAGTAAGGCGCGTAAAAGGTGTACCTGAGGAACGGCTTCGATCTCGTCCATCTCCTCCATTTTCAGCGATCTTTTTTCTGTGCTAGGAAGAGCGAAAGAGAAAACAAACGAAGTGCGCGCGAAATTCACGTGTCATCAATATCCGCCAAAAAGTTAAAAAATGTCATAAATGAAATATTTTTAAAATTTCATTTTTTTACATATCAATAATTTAAATTTAATTTTCATAAATACAATTACCAATAATTTTTTTGTAAATAACATTTTAAATTTAATAAGAATAAATTAAAAATAATGGCAACTTTTTACGGAGAACGAGGAGCTTCTCCAACAAATAAAGCAATTGAGTAGCCAGTATTTGGGAAATGCATAAACTTTTTCTAAGAATAGTCTTGGATTACATTTTAAAACACAGATGTTGAAATTCTAAAATCTAAATATTCAATATTGTACTGTTGCTCCGTCTGTTCAACTTGAATGCTTTGTATAGAATCCAAAAGCGGAATGGCTACTAAATACTACCATTTTCATACTTCCACATCAAGATTGTAGAAATGAGTTTCAGAATAGAAATTTGAACATGTTCGAGTTCTGATTGAACAAGGATTGTCCACAACGATACCACAGTTGAAGATGAAGATAAAGCAGGAAGCCATGTCCAGCCCATGATCTTTCAGTACAGACAACAACCGCCATTCCACCGAAGACAAGTGACCATAGACAGAAACATTGTCTTGGAACTCAACAGCATTTTGTTGAGCCTCAATGACCACCTGATAATGACAATGTAGATTCAAACCAATAAAGGAACAGGAAATTTAGTACTGTGTAGATAAAGGAACCAACTTCGCGATGGTAGTTAATATTTCCAGTGTGAAATACAAATAACTAGGACGATACCAATCTTGTTCCAGCCAACTTTTTCAGTACCATACTACATGTGCCTCCACCATTAGCGGCTTACTTCAGAGGTCGTGTGAGGAAAATACCTGAGGCGCCGACTCAGATGGAAATGATCAACAAAATGATGCCATAGTCAAAATGAGTTGCATTGTAAGTGAAGAGGTGGGTGACTCTGAAGTTGATATTCTTAACACTGAAAAATTCACTAATGGTCTTAAAAATTCACAAACGTTGATCACTCCCAGTCTCTTATTCCCCAGCTAACGGTCTGATGGGCCCCATGGCACAGGTGACATAACATTAATGGCAACGAAGCCTGAGGATGGTAATCATGAGCATGGTGACATAGAAGGAGCCCAATACTTCCAATCCAACGTACCTAAAGACCCATTGCAACATATTGGAGGTCCAATGACAAGAGCCCGAACCAAAGCTATGAAGCAAGCCTTGTTCAGTCTTGTGCAAGAAGTTCAAGAGCTTGGAGAGCATTGGGGCACTCCCCTCAAGTCCAAAGGAGAGCATCTATATGTGTATAATGTATTTAAGATCCAAACTCATGAAGAGTCAAGCCCAAGAGATGCAGACCTTAGCCCAATGCAAGGAAGACTACAAGTTGAGCCTCTTGCATGCAAGGAGACATGAAACCCTAGTAAAGAAGTCAAGAGTGGCGTGATTTCAAATCCTTTATGATCCCTTGATTGTCTCCTAAATTATTTCCTATTTTAATGGTCCTTTGATTTGATTTTCTATTTTGAGTCTAGTCAAAGGTTAGAATTAATTATAATATTAATTTCTAAATTTTGTAATCCCATAATTTTAGGATCACATCTCCTAAATTATGTGGCTAAATATTTTATCATTATTTCTCCTTTTAGTATTAGGAAATTAGGATTTTAATTTTAGGAAATATTTTTCTATAAGCCTATATAAATTAGGCATGCTCCCTATTGTAAAGAACACAGAAGTTGAATGAAATTATTCATTTTAGAGTTTATAACTCTTGTGAGCCTTAGTGCTTTGTGGTGGTATCCCGTGTGAGAAACCGACGTGATCAAGAGCGTGATCAACTCTTGTGGTGTCTTCGAAGGTTGAGGTTCCTAGAGGCAGGTGCTCTAGAGGATCTTCTCCTTGATCATTATCTTATTGTTTACTTCATACCTTTCTTTATTTCCGTCATAAATTTCGTCCCTTTCTTTTTTTGTTCTTGTGTTTTTGTTGTTTCAGGGTTCTGTCCCTAAACTAGCACGATTCTGCTTCCGCGTCCCTATCAGATTGGCATCAGAGCTTTGGTTGCTAGTTTTGGTTTAAATTCTTGTCCTTCCTTCTTCTTTTTCATCTTGAGTTATTTTTTTTTTGTGATCATCTCTTATCTACCCCATCTACTTCTATCTTTTGGTTTTTTTCTTCTTCATCTTTGTGACTTTTTATCTTATGTGAGTTTTCATTTTATTAGCCTTCTAAAAAAAAAGAAAAAAAAATACCTAGAAATTCGTGCAAAAAAAAAAGTGTTAGTGTGTTGAGAAAAAAAAAGAAAAAAAAATCCGAAAATTCAAAAAAAAAATTTACAAAAAAATATATTGCTGTGAGTTATGACTGTAGAAAAAGGCTATTCTTGAACTCCAAGTCACCAAGAGGTTACTTAAAGAGAAAAGTCAACTTGGGTGATAAGAAAGTCTTTTACGTTGATCACTTTCTTATTTTTTATTTTTGGTAGCACTTTTCAAATTCTCTACTCTCTTATTTGCTATTTGTGCTACTCTCTTATTTTATTTAGTTTTTTTTTTATTTTTGTCTTTGAGTATTTGACTCTTTGACTTTTATTTCTTTCTTTCTTATTTTTTGTTGTCACGTGTGGTTTTTCCTTTAACAAGCTTAATTTTATTTGAAAATTTTGCTTTCCTATTTGTTTCAAAATTGCAAAAAAAAAAAAATCCTCTTTTCACCTTGTGCTTGTTTTCTAGTTTCCTTAATTTAGAAGATATTCACTTGATTGTTCCTTAGTTTCTTGATTTGTGGGTTTCACCATTGGATTCTATCCACAAGCTTAGTGAGTGGTAAAAGGCAAGTGTGTTTTTCATTATTAAAAAAAAAAAAAGAAAGCCATTACTTTTTTTTTTTGTGAATCACGAGTGACTTTATCTTGAGAGTAAACACGTGAGTTTGTGTGTGTGAGGACCTATTTTTATCTTATATGGTTTCTAGTGCTTCTGTGAACATGAGTAACAAGGATGAATCCCCTAGTATTGATATGAACTCTGTTTTAGAACTTATCAAAACACAGTTGCAGCAGTTTCGCTTGGAACTTGATCATAGGTT